ATATATATATATATATATATATATATATATATATATATATATATATATATATATATATATATATATATATATATATATATATATATATATATATATATATATATATATATATATATATATATATATATATATATATATATATATATATATATATATATATATATATATATATATATATATATATATATATATATATATATATATATATATATATATATATATATATATATATAATTCTGAAGAGGATTAAGCATATATAATGTATTTCTTACTAGTAGAAACTGGCTTGCTGACTTTGTGTTTATCATGTTTCTGAAAGTGGACGCTAAGCTTTTAATCTGCTGTTTACAGTTGGTGTGAGAGCTCAGAACTGTCAAAAAGTGCTAGTCATAAATGTTACCAGGAAAGTTATTATGCGTTACTGCATTTACTGCCGTTTTATTACAAAAATAACTCTCAGATACTCTCCTCATCATTAATGTTTTATGCAAAATCCTTTTTTTTTTTTCTTAATTGATGAGGTATCCAATTTAATATATCGGATATTATGAAAATGTGAGAGTTAGCAGAATTAACCCCATTTACAGTAATTAAGTACCAGCCCGACACCAGCTTTGAGATGCATGGAGGGCAGAGTGAATTAGCATTTTGGATTTTATCCCATAACATTTTTTTGGGATAAAGAAGTTGTTTTATAACCAAAGGAACAGGTCCTGGAAAGCAATTAAAAGGTACCTTTAACTTTACATTTAAGAATTATCAATGTAGATTATTTGTAAAGTAGGTCATTGTTTTACATTGTTTCAAATAACACACTGTGAAATTTCTTTGATTTAATTTAAGTGACAGGCCAGCAAGAGCCTGATCAACCAAATACATTTATTTTACTGCCATGAACTTGCTTTATGCTGCAGAGTTAATATTATTTTTTATTATTTAGATTAGATTCAACTTTATTGTCATTACACAAGTACAAGTACAATGCAACGAAATGCAGTTTAGGTCTAACCAGCAGTGCAATAGCAGCAAGTGCAGGATACAGGTATCAGTTATAAAGTGTAGTTTTAGAAAAACTATGGTGATATTTACAGATGGATGTACTGTCAACATTATATACAGGTTGGATTCGCTATGAACAGATTTACAATATATGTACAGGTTGCTATTAATAATCAGAAGTGTGCAGATAAATAAACATCATTACAATAATACTGATCAATAAAATGCATCCCAAAAGGTGGTGAAATATGGGAAAGGCAAAATATACTTAAGGTATATAAATAATAATTTTATATAAAGTCAGATCAGTGTTTTTTATGTAAAGTGAGTGTATGTAAAATTATAAAAGTCTTTTTGACACTTGCATACCTGGGTCTAAAATGACCCGAAAACCAAGCATGATTACTTTAATCATTTAAAACATTAAGTAAATACCATTTGAAAGCTGAATTCTTTTAAGCAGCATTTTCTTATTGCTTTTTTAAATTAAAACGTTCATTAATTCAGCATTTGTGCATCTCTTCCTGAACACACCAAAACAATTGCGTTAAATGAGGTTTTAAATGTGCTTCTCTTATTATTGGACTCGTGATTTTTCCTTCAAACTCCTCCAGTCTTCTCCTTCACAATCTCTTCCTCAAGGTTGGTTTGAATGTGTGTGAACTAACCCGTCCTCGTCTCCTCTTTCCTCATGCTCTTCTTCCTCTGTTTCTCTCTTTTGTCTTGTCTTAACCGCTGCATTGGCGCTGCTGTAGACCGACTCTACCAGCAACTAGAGAAAAACCGCCTGCTCTCCAACGAGCTCAGAATGGCCTTGAATGAGGATTAAACTAGTCTGGACTTTTGTTGCTCGTCACCAAATGGTGTCTAAAATGAATGCTGATGTGGCTGAATGTTCAAAGAACGGGTTTCTGTAACGGTTACACTTTTGCTGCCTTCATGTCATGCAAGATCGTGTTTAGGATTTACATTTTTCACAATTACGATTGGTACGTCATGTTTTGTGCACTATTGATACCTCTAAATGCACCACCATTCAGAAATCTGGAATTGAACATTTTATATTTAGTCATTTAGCAGATGTGTTTGTTCTCAAATTTCGACTTATAATGAGGCATTTAGGTATTCAGCAAGAAGAGGCAATACACACAAGAAGTGCTAGTTATACAAAGGAACTGTTAGTTTGCTAGAATAAAAAGTTTAAGTGGGGCATATAGAGAGAAGAGTGTTTCTACAGGTGGTTTGGCAACCCCACTCACATGTGTAAAGCTCACTTCATAAATGTGCTGTTTTTTATAGATATGAAATGACTATAAAAAAAGTATCTTATGCAAAAACTGCTGCAAGTATCGATGCCAGAGAGAGAAATAATGTTTTCTACAGGTGGTTTATCAAGCCCACTCACCTGTGTGAGGCACACTTAGAATTGAATGATCTGAGGTTTTGCATACTATTTTAGTTTTCCACAACATTAAAAAAAAAGATAATTGTGACGCAAATCTCAGCTCAAATTGTAAATATTAAAGTTTGACATTTAGCACATGGCGCAAAAGTATTAAAGACATGTCCAGATCCAGTTTTGCTATTTTAAGGACTGAAAATACAGTCTGCGCCTCGGCACATGATCTAACAGGGTTGTGCTTATTCTCTTAATGAGTTATGGGAATGTTTTGAGCATAACATACAGAGTCTCATCTCACATTCCCTTTAAGAGTCGGTTGCATCGGCCCATGGCACATTTGCTATTTACATTGCAGACTTTGTAAGTGTAAAAACTGAACTCTTTACTAGCGAGAAAACAGTTAAACAGACCATGTGTTGCACATTCTGTAAGGATAAAGAATGAGCCTCCTCCATTTAGCCTCTTTACTTTTTACTCCTTTACTTTTGTGGATAATAAAACAGTGTTGTACTCACTCCACTGAAGGCAGTGTTTTTGCATTTATGTAGAAAATAATAACGTCTGTTACATTTTAATCCCCTAATTTCTTTTATTTGTAAAGATAGTTGTGCATTGCTGTACATCCTGTATGTATTCAGCAACGTGTAAGCTTTTGGACCGCATAGGTGCATAACTAATGCGCTCTGCACTCGACTTTAGAGCAGCTTTTAGTTGGTTAATGGCGTGGTCTATTTCAGTTCTTCAAAATAGCAAAATGCCTTGGCACACCTCCTTTTTAGACTGGCACACCCATGAGTCCACAAAGTGGCCCAAATGGATTTGCTGTTTAAACATGGCACAAAACAGGAAAATTGGGGTTGCACTGGTCTAAAAATTGCAATAAATTGTACCAAACATGTCTTATATGGCCAATAAACTCAGAATTTAATTTAAACTTTGAGCCTTTTACTTAAAATTGCAGGCGTCATAAGTTATATATAAAATAATCATGATTTTTTTCTGAATGTTAAACAGCAGTTTTACGAATTTTAAGGATATTAATAAGCACCAAATACAAATGAAAAAAAATCTAATTTATTATATTAAAGAAATTATTTATTTTTGGTTTGTTGTAATATAAAAACAATGTGCCCCACTTATATTTTGACATGACAAATTGTACTTTACTGCCATATGTATAAAATTCGATTCCCTTTCCAAAAGAGAAATTGACCAACGCATATTTAATTGCAAGCGAAACTTTGAATTCAACTTGTAAACCCGTCTCAGATTGACTTGAAGGCAGCATTTAGCTAATGGATGGCTAAAACTATAATCAGGATGTCATGTAATGCCTTGCTTTCTGAAAGAGTCAGCACTCTTTAACTGTGTCTGTTTATATATATATATTTATATATGAACACATGTATATCGGTATGTGTACATATAATGTATCTCTGCGAAGACATTTAAAAGTAAGCATGAATTGAGTGTGAGAAATGGGGGTGTGCGATATTGAGGGTTTTCATTTAATGACGATTAGACTTTTATTAATTGTGACTAGTCCGTTTCGCAATTACCGAGCCATTTAAATGATTCGTTCAGAACGACTGATTCATTTAGAAATAAGGCAATGGACTCTCTTTATGAATGAAACTTTTGAGCAGAGGTGCCCAAACTCAATCCTGGAGGGCTGGTGTCCTTAGTTTTTTTCCTTTAGTATATCTTCCTTTGGGTTCAACAGACAAAAAACACAGCCATAATATTTTTTGCTGCTACTATGGATGTCAATGGTGACCATTTTTAATTTTTGAGTGAACTGACCCTTAGAGATGCACTTTTGTTTGTTTTTGGAAGTCAATATCATATTTGTATTCGCACACACATATGCTAATATTTGGGAAAATTCCACGTTTGCTAGTGTGATCTTACTAAACTATCAAAAACAGCCACAATTTATCATTTTTGGGTGAACTGACCCTTTAAGATGCACTTATGTTAGTTTTTGCAAGTGAGTGACGCTTGATAATGTCAACAGTTTTCAATATTATCATAAATATCGCACACCCCAGTGTCTATTATTGCACATGCTGAAGGAAACCACTGCATGTTTTGTTCCCTACATGCTTTGCACTTATATTAACATGTCTCTCACTTGATGTTCTAACAGAGAAACTCTCACACGCTAAAGAAGAAAACCTCGATATGAACCAGATGTTGGAACAGACTCTATTGGAGCTGAATAACATGTGAATCCTGCTCACATGATGATGATGATGATGATGATGTCTGCATTTTGTAACCGTTATTATTTTTCTTTTTTCGTCCTGACAGTTATCAGATTGAATAACATGTGCCATTTGTTACGAAAGCTTTAGTTCCTTTGTATTTTATTTGTGTTTTTTTATGTAATACTATGGTACGTGTTCGTTTTATTCTGGTCGTGCACAAAGTTAGCAGCGATTGCACTTAATTGAATATAAATATATATATGCACATAACGGTTCTAGTGGACACGCTCGAGTCTGAAGCCAAGTTGAATCGAAATTTAGCTCTTTTTGTTTTATAGTGTACATGGGATTAGGTTGTCCTGTGTATTACTGGTGCTACTGTGAAGGCAGAAGTCTAGCAGTGTGTAGATTTAGAGATTTATTATGAATTATATACACTTTTTTTCAAATTTGGATATCATTCTTTGTGCCAATATTCAGCCCTAAAGGGACTTAAATACTCTTCTTTTTATTTATTTTTTTGGTTTTCCTTCTGTTTTGCTACAAGATGTCAGGCAACATTATTTTTGCTTACGCCGAAAACCACGTGGTTCAAAATGTTTGCGTTTTGAACTTCAGAAAGAAAACCAATATGATGAGATCATATTTGGGTTTGTGCCTCGTTGATTTTAGTCATTTTAAATGTAGATGTATTAAGTGTATGTCATACAAAAAAAATGTACAAAGCTGAAATAAATAAATAAAGCCACTCCGTTTGACGTTTTCCAAAGCCTGGTGTCTGTTTGTGAAGAGTTGATGCTTCTGCTTTCAGCATTTCCTGAGCACTAAAGAGGTGAGTTTGGTTTCCTCTTTGTGTTTGTTCATTATCTTTTCACAATAATCATGAGGATGTTGCCTAATATGTTAATTAATCTCACTCTCTGCTACCTGTGATTATTAATAGTTGGTCTTCTGGGGAGGAATTTTACAATATTTATCTTGATCAAACTGTAACTTCTATGACTTTTGAGCGTTGTTATTTGTCTGTGTTTAAGAAAGTTATGATTGTACATTTTATTTTGAATACTTAGTACAAGTGTTGCCTTGAATAATATAGCTAATGCTTCTGATATGGCGTTTAAAAGTAAACAAACAGTAACTAAACAAACAAGCAAACCAGCAACAAAACAAACAACTAATCAAGTAACTAAATAAGAACGAAACAAGTAGACAAACAAGTAACTAAACAAACAGTAACTAAACAAACAAGTAAACCAGCAACAAAACAAGCAGCTAAAAAAGTAACTAAATAAGAACGAAACAAGTAGACAAACAAGTAACTAAACAAACAGTAACTAAACAAACAAGTAAACCAGCAACAAAACAAGCAGCTAAAAAAGTAACTAAATAAGAACGAAACAAGTAGACAAACAAGTAACTAAACAAACAGTAACTAAACAAACAAGTAAACCAGCAACAAAACAAGCAGCTAATAAAGTAAATAAATAAGAACTAAACAAGTAGACAAACAAGTGACTAAACAAGTAAACAAACAAGTGACTAAAGAAGTAAACAAAGAACTAAACAAGTAAACAAACAAGTAACTAAAGTAGTAAATACAAGTAAACAAACAAACAACTACACAAACCACTAAACGAGTAACTAAACAAACAACTAAATAGGTAACTAAAACAAGTAACTAAACAAACAAGTAAGCAACTACACAAACAACTAAACAAACAACTACATAGGTAACTAAAACAAGTAACTAAACAAACAAGTAAGGAACTACACAAACAACTAAATAGGTAACTAAACAAACAAGTAACTAAAACAAGTAAACAGAAAGTTGCTAAACAAACAACTAAAGTAACTAAAATAAACATACAAACAAGTAACTAAGGAAGCAAACGAACAAGTAACTAAAACAATTAAACAAACAACTAAAGTAAACAAACAAACAAGTAACTAAAGTAAACAAACATAGTGACTAAACAAGTAAACAAACAAACATGTCACTAAACAAGTAACTAAACAAACTAATAAACAATTAAACAAACAAACAACTAAACAAGTAACTAAAGTAAACAAACAGTGACTAAACAAGTAAACAAACATGTAGCTAAACAAACAACTAAAGTAAACAAGCAAACAAACAAACAACTAAACAAGCAAACGAACAAGTAACTAAACAAACAATTAAACAAACAAACAACTAAAGTAAACAAGTGACTAAAGTAAACAAACAAACATGTCACTAAACAAGTAAACAAACAAAGTGACTAAACAAGTAAACAAACAAACATGTCACTAAACAAGTAAACAAAGTGACTAAACGAGTAAACAAACAAACATGTCACTAAACAAGTAAACAAGTAACTAAACAAACTAATAAACAATTAAACAAACAACTAAACAAGTAGCCAAACAAACAAGTGACTAAAGTAAACAAACAAGTAAACAAACAACTAAACAAAAGTAAACAAATAAGCAAGTAACAAATAAACAAACAAGTAAAAAGTAAACAATCAAGGAAGTGGTTAATGTTTGCTGCTGCATTTGCATTAATGCTTGGTTGCGCTGCACAATATATTGCACGGAAAGGTATCGTTATCACGATAATAGCACATGCAATATCCATATCATAGAGAAGTGCAATAAATTAAATAAGGCCAACAGTCAATGAGAAACAGGATTTCAGTCGAGGTTTTCAGTCATTTGTGGGGTTTTAAGATCTAAATGTTTGCATCTTGACATCATTTTTAGATTTACTATAAAGGGTTTTAAATATAAATGAAATATTAAGTGTTCGACGTTATGTATTTACATTTATTGGTTGAGTGAGCGCATTATCCGGGTATTTAAAGTGCACTATTTATACTACAGAATTGTGTAAAACTGCGTAGTTTTGCGCTTTTGGACGCACTTTTTGATTGTAAGATTTCGATTGTAGTCTTGTTGTGACAGCTGAATGAACAAACTGGCAGTTAAAACAGCTCGATTACAAAACCACACGACACGAGTCTTGCTTCTGTTCAGGCTGATGCAACATTTGCGCCGTTGCATGATGATGC